GCTACATGCCCAAAATATGTGAGACCAAGTTTCATCGTCCTCTCCTCTAAGGAACGGCTGCACTTCCTCCAAGGATTAGTTTGTTCTCTTGGCCATCCGAGGGATGCTCAGTGCCCTTCACCCACACCGCAGTTCAAAAGCATCATTCTTCTTTGGTCTTCCTTACTCATTGTCCAACTTTCAGATGCCTATGAAGCAACTGGAATACCATGGCTTGGAACAGGTGCATGCCGGTCTTTGAACGGACATCCTTGCTCTTCAGCACTTTGAGGAGGTCCGTGGCAGCACATTTGTCCAGTGCAGTACGGTTTCTTAAATTTTTTTTAACTTCTAATTTCATGTGGGTTGATTGTGGATCCAAGTGAAATTAGATCATTGACAACTTCAATCTTTTCTCCCTATATCATGATATTGCCTGTTGGTCCAAGGCTGAGGATTTTTGTTTTCTTGATATTAAGATGTAATCAATATTGAAGGATATAGTCTTTGAACTTTTCTGTGAATGCTTAAAGTCTTCTTTATGCAAGCAAGGTTATCTGTTCAACACAGGTTGTTGATGAGTCTTCCTCCAATCCTGATGCCCCATTCCTCTTCATGTAGTGCAACTTCTCAAATTATTTTCTCAGCATGTTGTTGTTGTTGTTATGAGTCCCTGCGACTTAACAGCGACCCTATGTACAGCCCTAAACCCTGCCCTATCCTGTGCTAATCTCACTGTCTCTGACACACCTACCCCCATTACCCCAGTCACTGAATCAATTCATCTCATCAAGGTTCTTCCCCTCCTGCGCTGTCCCTCCACCCTCCCAAGAATGATGTCCCTCTCCAAAGACTAGTCCCTCCTTGCAACATGTCCAAAGTATGTCAGGCGAAGCTTCAAAATCCTTCCCTCCAAGGAGCAGCCTAGTTTCACCCTCTCCAGGACAAACCTGTTAATTTTCCTAGCAGTTCATGGTCTATTCAATACTCTCCTCCAACATCACAGCTCAAAGGCATCAATTCTCCTTCTGTCCTCCCTAATCATTGTCCAGCTCTCCAATGTATAGCAAGTGATTGCAAAGACCATGGCTGTATCAGGCGCAGGTTAGTCTCCAGACTGACATCTTTGCTCTTCAGCACTTTAGAGAGGTCTCTAACTGCAGACTTTCCCATCGCAATACGTCTTTTAATTTACTGGCTGCTGGTGCCAAGAGTGTTGACTGTGGAGCCAAGCAAACTAAACCTGAACAATCTCAATCTCTTCGCCATCCATCATGAAGCTACCAGTCGGCCCAGTGGTGAGAATCTTTGTCTTTTTGATGTTGAGCCTCAATCCATACTGAAGACTGCAGTCCTTGACCTTCCACAGCAAGCGCTTCCTTCAGGTCCTCCTCAGTTTCAGCAAGCAATAATTGTGGAGATAAGATTCAACCCAGATACACATTTTTTTCCAACTTTATTCCATGCAAAGTCCTCTTTCTCTGTTCTAAAAACTGCTCTTTGTTTTCTGTACAGGTTTCTAATGATTTCCTGCCGCCGTACTGCTCCAGCCTTTTTCAATAATCTCCACATAGATATAGGGAGCTCTGGTGGCCAGTGGTAGTGACTGTGCTGCCAACCAAAGGCCAGCAGTTCAAATCCGCCAGCTGCTCCATGGAGGAGAGATGGGCAGCCTCTTCCTATGTGATTTAAAGCCCCTGAGACACTGGAGGGTCAGCTATGAGGCAGTTCCAACTCAACAACACACAGCAACAACCTACACGGATAGAGTGACAGCTTGTATGGATGTGCATGTTGGAGTATCTGACATCTGACAAACCCGGCCATAGTCAAGGCTGCAGCCCCTTTATCTCTCCTGTTTGTCTTATCTGTCTCCTTATGTATCCACTTGACGATGAATATTTGTTCTTACTGATAGTGCAAGATTGTGCATGTAATAATGTTTACCTATGATATCTGTATCTCAGATGCACCTCTCAGTGTCTTCCTTTTCTCCAGTACTATTGTACTGGTCAGCCCCTTCGCTGTGGATTACCTTCCCCTACACTCGTTTGCTGAAGAAGGTCAAGGACTGCAGCTTTCAATATGAATTGAAGCTCAACATCAAGAAAACAAAGATTCTCACCACTGGACCAATTGGCAGCATCAGTATGGATGGTGAAGAGATTGAGATAGTTAACAGTTTTAGTTTGCTTGGCTCCACAGTCAACACCCTTGGTA